CCCATTTTTTTTTTTTTTTTTTTTTTTTTTTGGTCCATTATCTTTGTATTTAAGCGTCCTATGCTACTGCTATAAAATATGAATTGGGAAGAAGACAACAGTAAATAAAGGTAGTTATGTTAAAGGTTAAGCAGTTCTGGCTTTTATTGTTTTAGCTATCAGAAGCAGTAATGCACCTTTTTGTAGTTAGGCTTCATTGGAAAGAGTTGACCTGGCCTGTAGAGAAGCCAAACCTCTCCTGTTCACGTTCAGTGCAAGGGATAGTGGTTATTGACAGTCATATGGATGACCCTTCTTTTAATTTCCTTTGGTGGGCAACTACTAGTTGCTTTTAAGGTTGATGTGTGGGAATGTTTTATTTCCACTTTATGATACTGTTCCCTTACATTTATCTTTAGGAGGAATGTACAGAAGCTTATGATAGGTAGCAGGAATTTCTTAAAATATGGAAAATACTAATTCTAAATTAATGAGAGGAAAAAATTGGCTGAACTTTTTTCATAGAATATTCAAAATTGACTGTGAGCTTTAATGCAGTACTGCACCAAGTATTTTATTTTGATACATTTTCAGGGTTGAGTGACAAATGCTACTAGAACTAAAAGGCAACACAGGGATTATCATTGAATTGAGTTCATTTATTTAATATCTGGGACACAGCAATTAAATTCATTGTAAAGACAGGATGACTCAGTAAAACTGGGTGAATTGACTGCAGCAGGTACTGCATGCGGATGTACGGGATGTATTAAATCAAAGATTAAAACCAGGCTGGAACTGAACCTTTTGCAGAATGTTACTATAGCCACATTTTGGTAGGTAAGATCTCTATAAATGTGACTTAATATAGGTGCTTGTGGTAACTTAGAAAAAAAATTCCTTCATTTTATATATGTGTCATTCAGTTCTGCAGCTGAGTTGCTATAGCAATAAGCGATGCTTACAGTTTGGGTCATATTGGAGAAAAATAAATTGTACAACTGGAGATGGGATATGGAAGGATTTCTCAGTTTCTGTTTTTCAGCTGATTGGAGACAATATGTTTATACTGTTTCTTATTTGCTCTCAGCTGTATTTTTGAAGAAGGCACTTTCTTGAAGTAGCTAGGGTGGGACAAACGGTGGGATTTGGTAAGCAGTAGGAAAGGTTAGCTCTTTCGGTTGGTTTATTCTGCACTAGAAACCTATGCTGTCATCAAGGCGCCTTTTAATTTTTTTAATTAATATTAAGATTTTCATTTTTTTCTCTAGCGCAATGGAAAATTTGAAGATACCATCCTATCTAATAAATAACTCGTATGCATTGTATGTGTAGTTATAATTCACTGTAAGATGATACTGGCCGTCGCATGTTCAGTCGCTGGTGAGGCCTCAGGAAAGAGAAACTAGTACGGAGGAAAGAGGTTTCCTGTGGGTGTGTGTATATGGCGTGTTGTCAGTTAAATACTGCTCTGAGGCCTCAGACAGAGCTGAATGTTTCCATTTGTGATGTGGAGCACAAAACCCTTCCAAAATAAACACGTATTTCCACCAATAGAGGAAAGGTATGTGGCTGCTTCTGAAGTTACTGGTCCAGGGGTAGGAAGTGCTCCCTTACACAGCTCTTGTGTCACTTCAAACAACTTAAATCATTTTTTCTGTTTAAACAAGGATGCAACTCTTTTAAGTCTTCTCTACGTAACGGCTTCTTCAGTTTCTAATTTTTTTCTGCAGCATTGTTTAAGAGTATTTTTGTTAGGCTGAATCTTTCATAAATATACTGTTGACAACAATTGTAGGGAATGTGCGAAAGGAAAAAAGATTCAAAGAGCTGATAAGTAGCTGAAATGTTTCTCAATTACTTGAAAACAAATGAAAGTAGTCTTCCTGTTCAGCTGGAGAGGAGCGCTGCAGAATGAGATGAGGTGGGAAATGAACATGTTTTTATTGCGTGCTGTGCATTGTACTTCCACGTTACTGTTCTTTTATGGTAATTTTTTTGAGAACAGGACTATTGAGCACAGCCTATTAGTGTTTATTTTAAATGTGTAAACTCTTGCCAGTTTATATGCACTTGATAAAGAAACTTTGCCTATAAAGGCTTTTGTAATGAAAACATTCAGCTGTAACTACCAGTAAGAGTTTTGTACTGTATGGTAAATAGTCGCTAGTATGGTAAATGGCTGTTATTAATAACTACAGGGGACTTTTAAGAGAGCTATGCTTGTGATAAATACCATGAGGTCCAATGCATTTTGCCGCCTGCTTTTCTTCTAGCCATCTTGCTGCAGGTTTAGTCAGCACACAGGTGATCAGTTCCTTGACTGCTTTACTCCCATCCCAGCTGAATTCCATGCACTTTGTCTAAAAGGAAGTTAAAGTGCTGGTATAAAATAGCTTAAGTGGTTTGTTACTCAAACATCCACCACGGTAATTGAAAGGCAAAGTGTCTATCCAATTCTCCAGCATTATCTACAGTGAAGGTAAGTGTTAAATCTGCAAACACAGAAGTAAAGAGAATTAAGTATATACCATTTTTAGTCTAACATAGAAAATATTTAGGTAAATATTTGATTAGAAATGTTAGTCTGGAAAATATTTTCTTCCCTTTAGTCTAAAGCAGAGATGGCCAGTCTCTGCCTCTTTGAACTTCATGATCCTTGTAGGTCTGTCTTTTTAGCATGTTCATGGCGTGGGACCAGGAAGAGAGATGTGGGCTTTCCAAGGGGGAAATGGAAACTTCAGCTCACTGCTTATGGGATGAAGCAGGACTGCAGAAGCTGGAATAGCTGTCATAATCCTGGGATTCAGCAGCCTGTCCAGCACTGCCTATCTTCTGTGAAAGTGGTACGATGGATCCTGAGCTGAGCATCGTTCCCTTCCGCTTGTGGTCTGTTTCTGGAGCTTTCCCCGCCCCCAGGCTGTCTGTGCCGTGTGTCTTGGGACTCTTCACTGTATGGTGATTTTAATATGCAACTTGCAGAGTCAGGAAGGTTGTCTGCAGACCGAGAGATTATTCTACCAAGGTAGATGCTTTAATATGTTTTCTTTTGGGGGACCTAAAGGAACAGAAAGCATTTAACAGTACATGGTTGCTTGATAAACCATTTGTGGTGTTGCAAATGTTGGCATACTTTCTCCAGATTCTTTTAAAATTTGCATAGCATTTTTTATACTACAAGCAGTACTACGTATTTTATCTGGAGGAACGTGGTCAACTGTGT